GATCATAATACTTCTAAAAGTTGCGGTGTTTTCTGTGGAGCATATCTAAGATTATTCATATATAAAAAGTTAATTTCTCATTATCACTTTCATTTTATGTCTCAGTTACTGTAACACAGCTTTTAAACTCATGACAAATGTAATTTTCTCAGTGACCACAAGATTACTTCAAATACAATTTCTTTTAGTCCACTACTTTGACCATGTTACTGCCTTTCTTTCTCCACTCTGCTGGTTCCTCTCTTCCCCATCACATCAAATAAAAAAAAGACTTGACTTCATTTTTAAAGTCCTGACAGGCTTTTATTGACACGTTAATTAACTTCTAATGATTACTCAGATATTGAATCTCATCTCTATTCAGTTCATGATACCTATCTCAGCCAAGTATTTTATTTTCTAACAGCCCTTCCATACTGCCTTCACATTCAAAGGGTGACTGAAAAACTTCATTATTTTCTTTTCAAGAAACATGTTAAATCTCATCCCACTTGAGATGCCAAAACCTCAATGACAGTTAAAAATGGTTAGTGTACGGAGACTACTGGTTTTATATATCCCCATAGACTTGTCCCTTATCTCCTGTTCAAACTTCTTTGTAAATTGTCCAAGATCGGGACAATCTTTCTGGTTCTTTGTGTGTGTTGACCTAGTGAACAGCACAACTATCCTCCTGCATCCTCATCACAAGCAATGTAACAGCAGCAACATTAGCAGACTGTTGTTAGTACACAGTGTAGTTTAAAAAGCACAATTGGAGATTTGGGCCTTCTCCCTTCCCCCTTCTTAGTAATGCCTACAAAAGTAAATGTTTTTATTCAGCTGAGCCTAGTCATTAGCAACAACTTTTACTAAACATTTACTACACATTTTTTCCAGGCACTGGCCTCCATACTGAAGTATCTGAAGAACTTGACTTTTGCACTTTTTAATGTAACATGCATATACATACATGCAGTCTGCTACAAAGTCTGGCTCATGCCTACCTAATTGATGCCAGTGAGATTACTCAGATGAGTGAGGACTACTCACATTAAAAAGACTTGAGAAATTGAACCTGTAATTCACAAAAACTGTGGAATGTAGTCATTTTTATGCAGAATATCTCAAGTGTTAATAATCACAATTTTGGCCACTGAAAACCAGTGAACTTATGAGCCACATTCCACCTCCAATAACTACATACTTGCTTAAATAATACTAAGTACAACCTTAATTTTTTTTCTATATTAGGAAATCAGACCTAACAATTAAGATTTTTTTTTTAAATAACTGGGGTTTTTTGTGATTTTCCTGATGTCAGAAAAAGTGTTGAATTGCCATACAATTAGCTTTTAAATTAGCACACCAATCTACTATATCACTTTTGGAACAGGTTCCATTCACCTAAAGTACCGGAATAGAAAGTTTTAAAGAACAGAAGCAGAGGATATATTAAAAATCTAACACAATACTATTTTATGGCAGACTACAGTAACAGTCTAGAAAAGTCTATTCTCTAAACATATTTATTGCTCATTTTTATAGAAATGATGTGTTTTAGCACCAAAGTATATTTTTTTAACCTCTGCATGAGTACATTCCATTTTTAAACATTATTTCTGAATTTTACAAGAGAACTGACATGCTTCAATATATACTCATGTCTAACTGCAAGTCTAGTAATTCGTTTGCTAACAGCTTAATAATTAAATAGCACTAATAAAAAATAAAGCACTCTGTTTATATTTCCTCTAGGAAGGAAATCTGTACAAATTATAAAGCTTAACAAACCAATATAAAAAATATTTCTGCTTGTGCTTTCTTTCTCTTTGTTAATCTAAAATGTAATTCTAAGTGGGTTTAATTTCCAAGTCAGACATTTAAGGTTTCTCCCTCCTTTTTAAGTTGTTCCAAAAACCTTCCAAAACTCCTGCCCAAATCATCAGTATAGTTTGGGTTATTTTCTAGTTATTAACATAATCTTGCCCATTATTGTATTGAATTCCACCTCATCATAAGGAGTAAGTCCAGCAACATGAACATGTGCTTTCATTAATGGATTAGTGCAAGGTTAAAGGTCTTTCTGATATGATCCCAAGAAGCATACTGAAAAAAGTCCAAATCTGCATTTCTCTGTGAAACCCCGTATCAAACATCATCAATTTGTTTGTGTGCTCACCTTCCACTGTTAGCCCATTGGATAATTTGTTATTTTTTATGTTTTAAGATCTATTCTTATATTAAAAGTCTATGTGTTTCCAGAATTGGGTTCTTAAAGTGAATTAAGTAAGAGTTCCTGAAATCTACGAAGTGACACTGGAAAAATTTCTATTGGGATAGTCACTTACCATAGCAAATTTTGTTCCTTGAATGTACTGCCTCCAAAGAGGCCCCCCTTTGGGATTACTTTCCCTGCCATGAAGCAACAGAAACCACAGAAAACATTAGATATTAAATGGAATATTCACATCTATTCCAATGCTTTGGAAGAAAACATAGAAAAATCTTCTACTTCTTAACTCCCTAAGCATTGTTACATTCCATGAATACCTGAGGTAAAAGCAAACCTGAGGAGCTGGTGTAAACTGGCATAGACAATTCACTCGAGAAGAAGTTATTTTGGTAAACAGCAAACTTTTCCTCTCTTATGACACTGCCTACACAGATCTAGTAGGTAAAAGACTGGTAGAGACAATTCTGAGAACATGGACTGAGACAAACAACTGGTTGTAGAGAGAGTGAATTGCTCCTGTCCAAATATTACACCTAATGTGATGCAAGAAGTCTTGCTTGCTTGGGAACTTTTAAGTATATTACCTACCTCAATGAAGATGTTGTAAACTAGTTCTATATTGAAACAGTCTAACCCTTAGCTTTTCACCAAACCTGACCAAAAAGTTACCTTAAAAAAGGCTTTTGTGTAGTCAAGCAAATGATTCAGAACCTTTCCAAAATCTTAAACCAAGACAGCTGTGAAAAATGGCCAATACCAGTATAATCAAGAATATGGGAGAGGAGTGAGGGCATTTTAGGACTTCTCACCCTTATAAAAAGAGCCAGACAACTGCAGTTTTGAGAGTCCCCTTTAGATTCTGTAATTTCAAGAGGAATATTCAGTGTACGACAATGAGAACACTACCACTGTGTCCTCCCAGAGAGATGCACAGCCTTTTCAGTGTCAGGAGTTAGACCCCAGAAATGTATGTCTATGTTATTATTTGAGTATGCAACTCCATTAAATCTTTTTGTATGCTAGTTTGTCAAGAATAAAAGACAAACTTAAATAAGCTACATAAAAAAGGCAGGGTTAAGAATAAATTAACTATTTTCTAAGCTATAGAAGGAGAAACATTAATCTAGTTCTGCCCCTCTCCCCAAAAATGTGCCATCACTAATGAGAAGAACAGCATTTAACTTTTGTCTCTTCAGTTTCTTTCTACTTCACACGTAGCTTGGCCAAACGTCGTTGTCACCTACTGACACTTCCTTTCTCCTTTGCTTCTGTTTTCCACAGAAATTCAATAGTTGTTCTTCAAACTGGGGCTTGATTCTGCTGTCCAGAGACAGGTGTCTAATGACATTTCAGACATCCTTTAATATCCCCCTTGGCCTCTAGCTGCAAAGTCTCTCGTAAGTTGTGTCATATCTGCTCTACTGTGTAGACATTTTTGCTACCTTGGGACATCTCAGATAGAACTAGAAGCCTCTTTGCAGGCAACTTTGTCACGCTTTTGCTGTTAAATGACTGTTTTCAGAGGCAATCATTGCAAACTGTTGATAAGGCTATAACCTTTGCTAGGAAAAGGATGAGATTGCTGTGGATATACAGGAAATAAAGATCCTTAAAAGGTTAAAAAAAGCCAAAAGGATCAAACAGAATCCCGTGCCAAACCACCAGGTACAGTCTATGCAGAAACAGAATCTACTTCACTTTCTGATCTGTTTTACAAATTCATGATTTTTTTTTATATCATAAAGGTTCTGTTCAGGAAAGCTTATCAAAAAGCTTCATTTGTGGACTCATAAAGAAAAAACTTGAAGTCACAACTGGCTCTGAAAAAACCTGCACCTCATCTGAACAGTTGTAAGCAAGTACTCCAAATATCCCACATCCAAAGAATGTTTATCACTCTCACACAACATTAACATCCAAGTATGTCTTTTCTATAAAACTCCAATCAAACTCAGGCAGAGACAAAATTACTTGAATGCTCTGGCCTTTGAGAGCTCCATAATCTCTGAGCTCATAGGATCAAAACTAAAAAAAAAGATACAATTATCTTAGCAAATGCATTCCTCAGATGTATGAAATACAATTTCTAGGATGGTATTTTAAGACTCTAAAGAATTCTGATATGCAAAGTGGTATTAAGGCTTCCCTAACAGATCTGTTAAAGCTTTGAGTTTCCCCTCCCTCTCCCTGAACACGCTACCACTATAATATTCTAACTTCCAGTTACATGTTGTGATGCTGTTAAAAGGGGGTTGTGAAAAATGTTACTGCACATTTCAGCTTCTGAAACAGCTACTGGTGGATAAAATTTAAAGAGCATTCTGCTAGTCTGGATTGTGCCAAGACTGAAAAGTCACCTCCTTTTCCTTTTTTACAGTAGGTGAATACACAGGCAACAGAAGTTTTCTTTGCCTCTCTTCTCTGGACCTCAAGCTTGAAGAATGAATGAAATCAACCTTTGACTGAGGAGTCTTTTTAGAAAGTGAATCAGGGAAAGCCGAGTTCTGTCATGTCTCAGTATGACTTATCTAATTACAGAATTTAACAATCTCTGAAGACCATTTCTAGGGCAAGTCAAAAGCTAGAAGAATGTAATAGAATCAAATGACTGCATGTTTTAATATGTAACTGGTCTTGAAAACTAAATTCAAGTGGGTGCAAGCGCTAACTGTAAAAGCATATAGGTTCTCCCACTGTATTTTCCAAAAACCTTGAAATAAAGGTAAGTACCATTTTGTTTTAAAAAATGACTGGAAAGACATATTTTTTTAAAGAAACAAATTACCTGGCAAGGCTTCTTCATTTTAATTGCTATAACATGGTATCTGTAACAGCAGAGTTCACAGGTCCATGACCCTCTTTCACTTATCCACTTTAGCAGGCAAAGTTGATGTGTGTATCGTACTGACCCATCGCAGCGGCAGGGATTTAACAATTCACCCTGAAAAGGCAACACAGAAACATTAACTTTAAAGGAATGTTTTAAGTACCTGTATACCCAATAACAAAATATTTACCAGTATGTAACAATGAACTGGTCCCAACTTCAATATATGAAGAATTATTATAAAAATACTATAAAAATACTCAAAAATTAAACTGTCTTAAAAACATGTAGGTCCTTCTAAATGGACAAAGCCAGATAACTGTCTACTCGTGTGTGTACACATGTGAAACAACTGAAAGATTACTGTGCATCAAACAACAGTAGCATTAGCCCTTTCAAATACCTTAAATGGTACCAAAAGTGGTTTGATGCATTTCCCAAGCAGTTATTTGCAGTCATCTCTAGGAAAGAAACAGGTGACGTCACAGAGAACCGTGCTCTTGGAGCAGGGTTCTGCGCTGCTCAGCTAGCCGGTTGTCAAATAATGTGGCTAAAAACTTCCCCTGGTGGCTCACATATTTCTATATTACATAAATCAGCTATTCTCTTATTTCCTTGGAAAGATTTTTATCAGCTAAACTACAAGACGGGCTATAAAACCTTAGTTACAGATCCACTGCTGAGACTATGCCCAGTAATGTAATGACAGAGAAGATCCTTGGAGGTCTTCTCAACATCACCTGTAAGCTAACACTCTAATTTTAAAGCCTCATAGAACCCTGATAAATTCGTGTTGTTGAGTCCGTGAGGGGGCAGCCAGCGAGCCGGAGGGCAAGGATACGTGCGGTGTGGCAAGCCAGCCACAGCCAACCTCGGCTTCTTCCCAAAGCTCTGCGCCGGCTCGGAACTGCCCCGAGCGTTTCTCACAGCCACCTCGTACAGCAGCTGAGGCTCGCTACAGCCGGGTGGCCACCGGCACGGAGGAGGGA